CAGTTAGCAAAGGTGTATGTACTAACTTATCTTCTGCCCTTATCTGTTCCTTTTCTCTAAGTTAGGCTCTTTGTCTCCGGGCAAGACTTGATTTTCCATTTATATGCTTTATTGCACCAGAGAGCCAACCATACCTTTAAAGAGTTTAGCTTATTTCCCAATACGTAGAATAGCCTCTACAAGTGCATTTACCTTTGTGTCTGCTTTTATGATTTCTTGAATAGTTGGGGCATGAAAGACATTTTTGGTTAGTTGATTTACATGTTGAGCTGTATGAACATCTTGGACTAACGCAACGGTAGAAACAGCGTTGTACATGTCTTTTATGAGTAAGGGTCATTAGCCTGTTTATAGCTCAAGGGAAAGTATGGAGAGAAACAGGACCTTCTGGAGACACGATGTCTGTTCCCATAATCAAAAGAAGAAGTTCCCACAATAAGATCATTCACAAGGTGCAATCAACATACCAGGGCCAGAATAAGGGGACAAGTCACTCCCGATATTGATCAACAAGGTACCTTAGGGAGTCAGTGCTCAAGCAGAAATAATTGAGTGGGGGTGGATATCGGTCATCATCTTATTGGCAAGAGACCGTGCAAACTTGCTTTAACCTCACCAGGAGTTTTCTCGACTAGTGGGCTCAGAATGGCTCCCAACATGATATATTTCCCGGTTCTGCAGCTTGCTGGTGCCAGGGGAGGCAATACAGACCTTATCATCAAAAAATTGTGGTTCTGTGTTGTGACGTGTCTAGGCATTCTATGAGGGATCCACTCAGGGGCTTGGCTTTGTCTCACTCTTTTCAGAACTTCCTCAGGGCTGGAGGAACCTCCTGGGTTATGTTTACTGAAAACCTTTAAGGACAAATATACTAGCCACAGGCACTGGAATGAGGAATAGCAATGTGACAAACAGCACACACACCAAAAAGCCAGGAAAGGAAGAAGCTGGCAAAAGAGACACATGGGAGAAAAGAGTCTTTGGAAAGCTCCATGTGAACCAGGAAATCTAGAGAGCCACCCATTCTAGAGCTGGATGCATGCTCAGAAAAGATCTAAGAAAATCCAAAACTTTCACCTCTGGCTGGCCTTTGGCTCTGTGACAGCAGAAACTGAAAGGTAGGGCAGAGTTGTAAACAGCCTGGATAAACATCCAGCAAATGCTTCCACACAGAGTCAATCTACAAAAATAAGTTTTGTTTTATTTTATCTCTAGATGTTTAAGAAAATCTCTGTCAAAGCACTAGCTGGCCACTAAGTGAATGGAGCACAGAACACAATGGCCACACACAACAAAGAATACAGTCTTTACAAAATAGTTTCGAGTAGTCACTAAACAAACAGCCAACAATCCCCCACGACAATCAGCCACAGCAAAATCTGGGAGACAGGAGAACCTGAGTTAACCACATTGTAATATTTCCAGAGTTACCACATTATAATATTCAAAATGCCTACTTTAAACAACAGAAGCATGCAAATAAGATAGAAAGTATTACCCATTTATAGGAGAAAAATGAAAAGAACAAAGTTAGAGAACTGACACAACCCAGGGCACCTGGGTGGCTTAGTCAGTTAAGCATTGACTTCAGCTCAGGTCATGACCTCACAGTTCAAGTTTTAGCTCTGCCTTGGGCTCTGTGCTGAGAGCTCAGAGCCTGGAATCTGCTTTGGGTTCTGTGTCTCACTGTCACTCTGCCCTTCCCTGGCACATGCTCTGTCTCTCTTAAATATAAAATTAACATTAAAAAAAAAAAAAGAAACTGAGAAGTGACACTACTTCAAGACTTCCTATAAAGCTACAGTAATCAAGACAGTATGATACTGGTGAAAGAATGGACAGATAGCTCAATGGACCAGAATGAATAACTCAAAAATAGGCCCACACAAATAGAGCCAACTGGTCTTTGACAAAGAAGCAAAGGCAATTCAGTACAGAAAAGACAGTCTTTT